GAAAAGAAACACAAATCACTCAGTGGATGCCTTGGTGCTTGAGGTGAAACAGGAAAGGTCAGAAAAAGAGCGTCTGAAGAAAAGGGCCATGCAAGTAAAAAAGGTTGGTTCTCGTAGAGAGAAAGAGCTTGAAGAGAGAATTGAACTTCTTGAGGATCAGTTACGCGCAGAAGATGAGCTGACAAACGCCACTCTTATGTCTCTAAAAAACAAGGAAAGTTCGTTACAGGAAGCTACTGCCACCATCGATATGCTCACAAAGGAACTGGAACGGGAGAAGTCGGAAAAAGAAACTCTGAGAAAGGCTGTCGAAGTGTCTGAGTGTAACTCTCACAACGACAAAAGATTGACTGAGAACATTGAAACACTTGAGAAGCGATTACTAGAGATGATTGATCTACGAGAAAAGACTCTTATATCTCTTAAAGAGAAAGAATGGTCATTGCAGGAGGCTCATGATGAGATCAATGAGTTAACTCAACAAATAGCACACAAAAAGTCGCACAAACAGTTTTTCAAGAGGAAGGCTAAGGCTAAAACGGGTAAAGCTTATCGATTGAATGTCATTCAAAAAGGAACAAAAAGATATACACAGGAGAGGGGTTCGTTTATAGCAGGCGTGGGAAAACGGCTGAAGAACCTGGTACAAAGACGAAGAGGAGTGTCCGCATCGAGCCTGGTAATGAAAAAGAAGGAAGCCCACGCAGAGCGTATGTTAGTCAAATTGAGGGAAGATTTGAATGAAAGAGGAGAAGTCATTCAAGACTTAAGGAGTAATTTCAAAGACAGTGCTAAGGAATTGTCGTCCATGCGACGTCAGCTTGAAGATATTCAATGCCAAAATGCCGAGCTCATACAGTGTCTTGGACACAAGGAGGAGGATCTTCAAAAGACGCAAAGATACTTAAAAGAAAAGGAAGCCAGCCTTGATGTCACAAATGAAACCCTGCGTTTAAAATGCTCGCTTCTCAGAGCCATGGAGGCCAAATTATGTCTGACGAAGAAAGAGATTGAAGGACTGACACAAGTCAACAAAGAGAAAGGCTTAGAGATAACTCGCATTGAGACAATCCTTACAGAAGTGAGAAAAAAGTTGGTTATTGCTGCATCCTTCATCGAGAAGCAAAATGAACAATGTGCTAACCTTAGGACTTGTGCTATGAAGAAGACCCGAGATGCGGATAAGATGCAAGGCGAATTGAAACGCTTCTCAACTCAACTTGAAAATAGCAGGAACGAGAACGCAAACCTACACAGAGCATTGTTAGCTGCTACAGAGCGTCTTACAAGGGAGAAGCAAAGGCAGTTCAGCGGGACTGAGTTACTGAAAGATGGGCACGAAAGGAAGTCCTCTGAGTCATCATGTGAGGTGAGATATTTCCCTCCCTAAACGCGAGACGCAAGAGCGATGAGAGCGATCTTGAAGCAGGAGACGATGTACACTAAAATCCCATTGTCAGCTTTCACTTTCTGCTCTTTTTGGAATTAATTGATGTGCTGTAATTTTGACTTGCATATTTTCAAGCGAGTAATTCATTTTTTTCGTATCTTCTACAGGAAAGCTCTTCTAACACCCTGAAAGCCAGGAGACAAATAGATGCGTACAAAATAACATTTTTGGAAGACGAGAGTAATGTGGCAGGCAGTAGTCAGGGAGACACTGAAAATAAATGGTCAGTAATGTATATTTTTTGTTACCAGGATATTTAACAATCATACCATTAGTGCATTTTGGATATGAGATGGTAAATAGCCAACGAAATGCGTAGCGCCGAGCGGAGTATCACCAGTCTCTATCCATCAAGCGTCTAATGAGATAATTATTAATTATTCAACTACGTTAAATCCCAAACGTTTGGATATTTGGAGCTTTTTTCAGCTCCGTGAAATGTATTTCCATGTGAAGTGACTACGAATGTGGGCTGATAATCGGAGTTGAATAAATCAATCACAACATTAGAAATGCAATATTCGGGGTTGAAAATTTAATGATATGATATAGCTTTAGGTAAAGCTGCAACCCTCGTCACAACTGTTGCAGAATGAATCTTTTTCGCCGCGTTTAAAAGGCTTAGTATTGAAAGAGGTTAGTGATAAATCAAAACTAGACGAAGATTTTTTGCCAGTGAATAGAAACCCTTTAAGCCCAAAATTTTACACAAGGTTATTCCTGGGAATAAAAAAGTTTCAAAAAGAGCCAGGATACATTGATTGGGACTTACGCAATATTAAAGGTCACATTTTCACCACTCATAGCGTATCGTCTTCAATGGTATTTTTATATTTTCTTCAAACTTCTCCCTGTCATCTTTCAACGGGTAATTTAGAAATAAAAGTGTCTCCCACTTTTAATTGCAGGTTCAATACTTTTAGATTGGACGAACATCAGTTTGAAACACGGGGAGATCGACATTTTAACTGCGCTGGTACTATCGCTAAGGTTGACCATACTATGCAGAACTTCTCAACACACGGATCACATAATTCAGTTTCGATACTGCTGTGCAATGGTTAATGTTTTGCAGGAGAAGTACCAATGCAACGAATTGGCAAACCGGAGACTAAGACTAATTTTTAACATTGAAAATTTCGGATGCAGTCGAGATAATCTTTTTTTTTTTTGGAGAGGGTATACTTCTTACCTTCAAATAAACATTCGTTCCTTGACATTAAGTGTAAATATATTAAAGTACTCTTAAAATATGTTCATTTTTGTTCTGTGTTAGGGAAGGGGACAGTACATAATAAGAAAAGGAGCAATCTTCTTCTTGCATCTTACAGGCCCTTATACACAAGCAGGGGACTGGAAGGCAAAATTTCCCACCTTAATCACTCTGTTTACGAACATGACAATTTCGACATTGCTGATTGTTACAGTGTGCGCTTGCAAAACACGAACCTAGTATGTGCTTGGCTTATCCCGAAGTCTCTGCTGTAGCTCAGTTTTGTTGCATTGGAGCGGAATTTATAAACGTCCGGGTTCTATGGAGGGTGGGGGCTCAGATTCTTCTTTGTCCCGTGATAGCACTGCTCAAGTTCATGATATTGAAGCTTAATCGAGAAGTCCTGGGTCAGGTTCCTTCTATCTGTCATCTTGTAAATTTCGGGCTCTGACAAACAGTGACGCCACGGTAAACTGACTCCTCCCTAATGATTCCTTATCGATCCCCTCACTGACCCTCTCTTAGATTCACTGGCGCTGATAAAGATAGAAAACTTGACCACGATTCTTTGATTCTATTAGAAGTTTTACCAATTAATAAATTGGTTGACCCTTGTTGAAGTTGAATGTGACCTGGGCACTATTAATTTACCGATAAACATTTGGTTTCTTGTATTTCTATGTCATAAGGTTTTCCATAGGTGTCACAGGAAAAAAAATTCTCTTTGTTCGTGGGAACGGACGACAAAGTTGATACTGTTGCATTTACCAATCATTTATCGGGAAAGAGCTGTAATATTTGAAACGAAACGCGTCGAAACGATCATCTTCCACCATATTGGAAGTTTAAACATGAACCTTTACGAGTATAGTACTTAATTTCTTCGTAAGGGAAAGATTTCCTCGTCAACCCATAATATACTAAAACAAGGCCTCTGCCATGTTAGTGACCAGTCAGCATTCTTCGCCTCGGGTGGTGGAGGGAGAGGTGGGGGGAGGATTTTGTGGGATCGCATGGTTTTCAAGGGGGGACGGAAGGGAGATCAGTAGTCGCCAACAGATGGTCCAACACCCCCAGCCGAAAAGAAAAACAGAACAAAAAAAAAAAGGTGAAAGAGTCAAAGGAAAAAAAACCATAATAAGCAGTTTTAAAGTTACGAATAGCTTTTCTTTGTTTTCTGAAAATTCGCCAGCACCCACCCTGGATGGAAAGGACGCTGTGACAGTAAAGTATGTTGCCGTATGTTGTCCACTCTCAGCGGGTGATTATTGAGCTGAATTATTCGCTCGGCCAACAACGGATTTGCAATCGCGTGCGCATGGACAGATCCTAGATAGTAAGATAAAAAACATCACTCCATACCAGAAGAACATTAACAAATAGTCAAAAAGAAATTCATCTTCAAAAAAATACAGAAAAACCTTTTAATAAAAAAAGGAGGGAAGACGAAGGTTATTTCCCTTAAACGGATGGCAAAAAATTTAAACGGTTGACCAAAGTCCAAAAACGGATAGCTTAGGCCTTCAAACGGTTGACCAAAAATAAAAACGGATAGCACGAAACGTTGAACGGTTGACCAAAGTTCAAAAACGGATAGCTCACACTGTTAAACGGTTGACCAAAAATAAAAACGGTCAGCCCAAAACGTTAAACAGTTGACCAATGTCCAAAAACGGATAGCTTAAACCGAGAAACGGTTGACCAAAATCGACAAACGATGAGCTAAAAATTAATGTTTAACGGCTGTGGTTGGGCCGGCGAGATCTTCTGCGGAAAAACTTTCAGAGTGACAACGGATAATTATCCTTTAAAGCGAAAACATTGAGCATGATAATTTGAAAAATAATAACTAGCATATACTTACGCATTTTATTTCTGGGTTAATTACTGCCGCTTTCGTGTGACATTCATGAAATAAGCGCAATCTACTGAGAACAGTTTCGCTGCCGAGTATCCTGAACGGCTACCACGAGAAACTCATAATCTTCTCCTTTGTTTATTCTTATTATTATTGAAAATGAACGTCATTTTTTCCTGCTCGGAAGTTTCGCGAAACAAATTTGCATATGCAATGCCGCCACCTTGTATGAAGCCGAGACATTTCAAGATCAAATAACGCAATGAAGTTCCATTGCAAATAAAAGGTCGAATCGGTGTCACGCACCAAGCGGGGCCGTTAAAATGATTGTCAATAAAACCAAGAAAGATGAATCAAGATGATATAAACAGAAAGAGAGTAGCCGATTTAGCAGTCCATCGACTGAGGGTCTGCGAAATATACCAACCCAGCTCACTGCGGCTGAAACACACCCCGATAGATGCTAGACAACATAAGGTCAGTTCAACTTTATTTATATTACGAGGAACGAGCAAGCTTATGTACATGTTTGCTAAGGTGACACTTCGAGTTAATTTTACTTTTGATGGACTTCCACACTTTTTCTTTCTCCGTGGCAGATTCAATTGGTAAACGGCTAAACACTAGCACCTTTAACGCTTGAAGTTTCGTAAGCTTTTGCTCAGCTCTTCCGAGGTATAGAAGAAAGGCAAAAGTTTCAGAGCGCACCGGTGCCTCTCTTTTTCCTTTTCCAAGACGTCTCGTACCCCTTTCGATTTGCTGGGCGTCACCAACGATCGTATGACGTCTTCACCGACTATGTCGTCCTCGAGGGTTGATGGCTGGAGTGCCGGTGTTTGCGGGGTAGTTGGTGCTGGTGGAGTTGAAGGCACTGGTTCGAACACTTCCATCGGATCATCGCTGATGAATGCCAAAGCCTCGTGGTCGATGGTTTGCAAGTTACCGGTCTGAGGAAATGGACCACAATTTACTCTTGGATCACTGAACTAGAAAGTAGGGATATTCACTCGTTAGTTTCGGACTAACGACACCAAACAGGGTCTATTTCCTGTTCCGGTTCAAAGATACTCAGTATCCTAGTGCAGTTTTCCTAACAAGTCCATTTTACGAAAGCTTACGCAAATTATATAAAAAAAAAGCAACTACTTACCACTTTCTCTAACGAATCCAGACGTTGTTCAATCTTGTTTAGTCGAAGGGACACTTTATCCTCCATTGCAGACAGTGTGTCCTGTAATGTCTCCATCATCTGTAGAAATGTAATTTGCGTTAGTTCCATAGGTACTTATAAGATACTACAACTTAAGCCTGCTTACTCGCCACTAGTTAAAAATAATTCTAAAATTTTGGTGTGATAAGGGAAATTGGAAGAACCTATCAAAATAACACTTACATGCTATTTGCAATCATAACCTCAGTTATATTTACATCTTTGAAGTAGAAAATGAGACAATGGTATTCTTGCAATGTTTCTTCGTTCATTTTTGAAAATTCAGATTAACATTGATCAGTGTGCTTACCTTGCAGACGCTTTCTTGTACTTTGTTATGCACAGCTTCCACAACAGAGACATTGGCAAGCTGAATGTTGTCGAGTTATCCCTTCAGGGTTTTACATTCAGGCTCCTTGGCGGCTAACTGCTGTTTTACGGCCTCCAAATCTTTTTCTGTGGTCGCCGTGCATTTCGCTTTCTTGTTGGCTCGATTAGTGGCCCATTCAACCTCTCTCTTTTTCTGCTCAGCCAGAAACGCACTATATGGATTCCCGAAAGTCACTGAACTTTCCTAGGAAAAAAAAAAAACCTTCATAAACACTACGAAATACCAAATGTAAGACCCCCGAAAAAGAAAACATCGTAGGCGTTTTATGACGACTCATATTGATACAATTGACTCAGACTACAATCAACCTCGGAAGGAGTAATTTCAACTATCATGAATGTCTCACAAAATTAACCGGTATAATGTTAAATTTCAATTCAGTACAAATTTCTGCATGCACTTGTTACGTTCTGAATCTTCTGTTGAGAATGTAACCGTCTCGCACTCAAGTTTTATTACGTACCACCTTAAGTTTACGTAACAGTTCAAAGTACGTGTAATGTAGTCTGCGAACTGAACGTTGATGAAACGACTATAACTCCTTACACAGCTCAAATCAATTCTATGCGTGAAATATAATTCGATTTGATTCAGCCCAAGTTCTCTATTACTTAATGGACAATTATATGATGTCGTTAACAAGTGGAATTTTTTTTTTCCGAAATCAACACGACCAACCTTATGAATACTTGAATTGATTTGAGTTTTCCGTGGCTGCTGGCTTTCTTCCTGTTTTTCGACGGGTAGTTTGGACTGATTGGAAATTGGATCGGGTTCAGTTGCGGAAATGAACTTGGATGACCACTCAATGTCTTTTTGATTGAGAATCTCTTCGTTATCTGTAACCAAGGACACAATGAGGGCAAGTTCGCGCAATAATAAATGCAGATGTGTGAAGAGCCCATGAAAAAAATGACTGAACAGAATCTTTGTTTGTCTAGCAAAGAATTATCACAAGGAAAGGTTGTAAGACTTACCACCCACAGCTATAATCTCTGCTTGTCTTCTTGCCCTCCCAGTTGACTGTCACCGTGCTCCCTTCTTTGTATTCGAAGCTTTTACCCAAAATCAACCTTGAAGGGGCGATACCAGTAGTCCTTTCTTGTGGAAAATACAGTAACACTTTTGACGGCCGTTTACTAGTTTCTTTGCATAGTTGCACTATGCAAAGATGCAGCATCAGTAGTTCTTTTTTTTTTTTAATTTACCCCCTTTAATCTTTTATTTAAAAAGGTTAATTTGTTCTCCTAGTCTATTTAATGATCCCATATTGTCTGAACATGGTTCCTATTGAATCAACCTCAAAATCAAATACATTCATTCCTGTCATAGACTGAAGTAAATGCGATACTTTGCATAAAACAATTGAAGACCCCTCACTGTGTTGGTAACTGATCTCTTACTCGTCAATATCTCAGTAAAGAAAATATCCTACATTTGACTCAAAGAAAAGAGCTTAGCAAACTGAATTCCCAGTTTTTTAGGAATTCCTAGGAATTCTCAAAAATTCCCAACTATGCAAATGAGCTCTGATTTGAAAAGCTTGGAATTACTGGGAATTTTTGGGAAAGGAAGACTCCAGTTTAATGAGGACTTGGAATTCTTTGGAATTCCTAGGAATTCTCAGCTATACAAACTGCCCACAATTTGAGAAAGGTGGAATTATTGGGAATTTCTGGGAATTTAAAATTTGAGACAGTTTAAATGACCTGAAGTTCACATAAATTCCAAGAAATTCTCAATACCTTGAATGTGAAGGTTTTAAGAAAAGGACTAATTTTAGAACCTTAAAACTTTGGCTCAGTAAAAGGTATGCTACACAAAATTTACCAAGAGATATAAATACCTGTATATGTTTATAACTTAAAGATCAAAAAATTTATTATTCAAACTAAATTTTAGTAAATCTTTACATTAATATGGATTTTCTCATGAAGCAGTAGTAAATTATGTTAAATGCAAGTTACCAATGTACAAAACCTGTCAGAGACCTTTTTTTCAGATTATTTTTAGTATAAACTTCATGCCTTAGACAAAAAAATTCAACACCTATTTAATCTTTCTTTTCTTATGATTATTGTTGCTGTTTTTTCTTTTTTTTTTTTTGCTTTTTTTATTATTACAAAACATTTTTTGTAAGAGTTCCAATATTCAAGGATTATCCACACACTCCACAAACATTTGGCATGCAGAGAAGACAGGGGTGGTCACTGTTACCTTCAAGAAATAACACCTTTTCCTTGATTTCTTCGATTCATTTTACTTGAAACTCAAGTCTGAAAATATTTAAAAATAAGACTTGTTACTAGAGTGAAGAACAAACCGAGTTTCTTTTCATAATTTAATTTCTTAAATGTCCAGGTCACTGGACCTCCTAAAAAATATTACTTCCTTTCATTTTTGGTGCAAAATACTAGTCCTTCTTCATATACAAATGAAAATTGCAAGTCACACTTCTATAATAACAGCTCTAAGGTTACCTATTGTTCTTCACTGAGTCAGCTATCAACAAAATTGTTTTATATTTTTCAGGTATGGTATAAAATTTAGTTTGTAATTTAAAATGAAAACCTTAGTTTTCCTTACCCATTCCTGTTTCATCCTTAACATGTGATGACCAGCCTCACTAAAGAAGAACGGATTCTGGAGATCTGGCTGTACTTCTCTAAAGACTGCCAATGTGATCCCAGACTGCCTATCCCACACAAAACACTCAACCTCTCCAACCTTGCCACATGCAAACAAGACAACATAGCCATTCTGCTCTACCATCCTGGTGTACTCCTTAAAGTAAAACACTTGTCCATTCTTGAGAATTCGTTGCACTTAAACTTTGCTGCCTCCAATAACTTCCATATCAATCTTCTCCATTAACTCTTGTGGTAGCCCTACAGTTTCTTAGTCTCTCCAGCAATGAAGCAATTCTATGCCTTCTTTAGATTTTTAATTAACTCGAAAACATGAATGGAAAAAAGTAGATTAATATCTTTAATAACAGTGTGTTTTTCAAGCAAAAAAGAAGTTGTCAGTAGTGTAAAGAAGCTACTGATGATGATGATAACAATTGCTATCAATATTAAGTTAAAACTATCATAAAAGAGCAGACAACTACCTTTGAGAGCAAAATGTCACGTACTCTCTTTTGGTGTTCAACATTCTTTTGATAAAGTCCTTAACACAACCATTTCCCAACATATCTACACATATCTACCTTGCATCTTAAGCGACTCTGAGCATGAAGCATCCATACAACCTAGTAACAAATTCAAAATTGCACATCAATAATTCATTTCTCCAAATGGAGTGGGAGAAGTAAGTTTTAAATTTACTTGATTTAAATTTATGGCAGTGGAACCCTAATAACACAGTCAGCAAGGGCTCATGAAAATTTAGCTGTATTAACAGGGTAGGAGCAATATCTTGACCGGTCCTCACAGATACTTTTACATTTCTAAACAACTGTAAATTATTTAACAAATATCTGGAATGCAACAACTTTAATATATGCATACAATAGTAACCAAGGGTACTTCATTGAACATAACTGAATTCTACAATTAAAACAATAACAGACTTGGCCATACACATTCTTCCCCAAAACAATGGTCACAACTTAAAACATCATGTTACTTTAAGTTAAATATTGTTTTTCAAGTACTGTATTTGTTTTGTTTGGAAAGCAAAATTGATTATAATAACAAGGTGACCAAATTAATGAGGTGACCATGAGGTGGGGTGGTGTAAAGGTGTTAGGTGTAAATTAACTGTCTGTTAAAAGTACCTGTCTACAGACATTTCCTGTCCCATGTGTCAAGTCCATGATGGTTCCATTCATGTCCTCAAACCCAAAGGTGGACCATGCCCACAGTGGACCCCATCCTTCAACATAGTCAGCTAGATGGGCACCAGTATTGCGAACATTGAGACCACAACTGCCATTCCCTTTAAATGTGAGGGAAACACACTGTTTGGGGCTATGCCCTTTTTTTGACCAGTCAATGGGTGAATTTACCCCAAGAAGATACTTTACAATAGCTTAACTTTTTCTATTAACACATATGGAGAGAGGCATAACTGTCAATCAATCAAGATAAACATAATCTTAAAAATTCTTCTGAGCCACAAACCAATTTCTCCTTGTTGGGTAGCAATGCTACAAAAGTAATTGATTTTTTGTTGTTTCTTTTAAAAACATTTTAAATGTAAACCTTAATTAAGCTTGTACATAAATTTCATTGAATCCTAGAATTTCAGCAGGGATTTTTTAATTTTTAGTATCTATTTTATATTAGTAGCCTCAAAATTTGACTTAAAATTCTCAGCAATTCTTTAACATTCCTAGAAATTCCTGGGAATTTTTTTACATTTACAGCTATTCAGGGAAAGTCATTGGCGCTTTGAGTTGGAATTCCTATGAATTCATAGCAATTCCAAATCCTGTTGGCTATGAATTTTGGAATTTCTGGGAATTTTTGGGAATTTCTGGGAATTTCTAGGTTTTTAGAACCAGAGTTGTTACAGTTGGGACTTCCTAGGAATTCCTAGGAGTTCCCAGTCCGAATTTACTGTGACCATTCACACCTCTTATTCCTAGGAATTGAATTCCTAGGAATTCCAAAGTCCATTCCGCGAGGGATATCGGCCAAGATATCGAGCCCATCTTTTTTGCGATATAACAATCAGTCTTAGATTTCTTGCAATTTCTTCCTCTCTTCTAGCAATTCTCTCTTTCTAATTTTAAAATCGTTCAACTTCCTTATAATCTCTTTTACCTTCATTTCAAGCCTTGAAATGAAACAAATGAAACAATGTTAAAGCTTAGTTCAACGGTGCTCTGAAAATTCTTTTGACCAGTTTTTAAACAAGTCAAGAAACTAAGATTTCAAACCATTTAAGGGGATCTTCAACACAACCATTAATATTTGTATCTTCTGCTAGCAAGTTTTCCTCTTAAGAGATATGACACTTATATATCTCTAAAGAGGAAAATTTGCGTCGCGTATCGAGGAATTATTCCTCGATACGCAACGACTTGCTTCATACATTGCTTGAAGCACCTGAATTTTGAGGTTGCCTTCTTGACTATGTTTTCCTCCTCTTCTTTTTCAGAATAATCAGCTTTCGAAGCACCCTTTCCTCTTCTTGACAGTGTTTTCTCCATTTCAAACGTTACAACAGCGTTTTCGAACTGCTCTGTGAAATGTCTCCAAATAAACGACGACATGATACAGCGCGCAGTCCATTTTATGACTGTATTGCAAAGCACCCACGGATTTGTTTCCCATCTAATGAAGAGCCTTTGATAGGTATAGATGTCCACCTCTTATTGAAGCATTCAGGTATTCCCTTTTCTCCTGAAGACATTCGAGCGAGTCAAAACATTCCACGGTGAGGTGATCTAGTTCCTCACAAATGTCCTCCATTTTGAAAAAAATTATCGATCGGAGGGAGATTGAGTACGAGGGGTGTCTTGTTCATTTAACATTTAGTGAACTTTATGTTGCATTTCAGTGGATTGCCGTTTGTCAGTAAATGTAAAGGAAGATCTCTCTTCATTTATCGAATGCCTTTTTGTCGGCTTTCGCAATCGTGATGTGACTCTGAACTGTTGAAGGAAGTCAGCCCGAAAGTTAGTGCCAATGATTTTACTGATCATTTCACTACCCGTTAACAGCCGCCGTCTACCTTTAAAGACAATTTAGATTGAGATAAAGCAAGGCCGGCAGAGATGGAAGATAGAAATCTGCGAAGGTCGATCAGTTTGAAATTTTACAATATCCTTCTGGATACAGCCCTCCTCGCAAAGTTATATGGACTTTTGATGCAACTTTACGCCTTTTCCTGATGATCAAACGGAAATAGGGGATTCTTTCGCGAAAAAAAACGTGCTACTAAGCGGCGTGTTCACATCGATGGACTCAGCTCACAGATGTACATTGGTCCCGTTCAGTACACTGACATTCCTAGCGTGGAGTCTATTTGCTTTAAATTTGACCTGATCAGGAAGAAAGAAGCCCATGTTTATTCATTGGAAGCGTCAAACCCATTTGCGTTGGATGAATGAATGGGGGAACACTTTCCCACTTACTTCAATTGATCTATATGTAGCTGAGAAAGAAAACTATAAGAATTCTGCGAAGGTACGACGAGATTATTTTTCGAACATAAATGAATCTTTTTTGATTCAAGAAGGGATGGAGTTTTCTCTAGTTATTACAAAGACTCACAATTTTCGCTGGCACTGTTCTTTGCCGTCTTTGAACGCCAGTCGATATTGTGGAAAACGGCTGAGTTCCTCTTTGCTTGAAAATATCTTACGTTTGCCCTTATTTGCGTGTTGGCTACTATTCGAAGACAAACAATTTCAAAGTTTTCACTGTCATCAAGTTTAGACACAAAATTGTGATATTTATAAGACTGAATATCAGATTCCAGTGCGTGAGCTATCGAAGGTTTCCTCGATCTATGTGACGAAAAACTCGTAAGAGATGGTTTCCATGGATTTTCGCTCAAAACAAAATCATTTGCTTCAGCTATCGATGCGTTCACTATCGAGGGTCGGAGCTTTGGAAATTTGGATTGTTCACAGTCTTATTTGAGAAAAAACACTTAACACAAACCAAAAAAATCAAATACTATAGAAACTAAACTTCAAAAACAAAACAAACTCTATTTGAGTTTTTTTCGAGCGGGACAAAACCGCGAGTGAGACGCGATGGCTTCTTGGCTTCGCCCCGAAAAGAAAGAAGATCAAAAACCTCCGCAACTGAAATCAAGAATACCAGTCAGAATGACTCGCCTATGCAGTGATAATGTCAGAAGTTCCTCGTCAAGGGACAAAGCAGATAAAACAGCGCGTCTGCATAAAGATTTAGAAAGCAAAGTTCAAAGCAAGCAATCATCGCGGATTCCGATTGCGGTGAATAGGAGGAAGACCAAAGTTGATTCTAAAGATAATGTACCCATGAATTTCAAAACTACTCGAAGAGGAAAGCCTTTCGGAGGAGATTCAGGTATGTTTATTTCCCAGCAGGTAGCCAGCATTAGTTTTTTCACTTTTTTTAGAACAGTTTCAGGCGAACGGCTGGAATCATCATATTGTCTGTGTTATAACATACGCTGTAGGTAAAAAAAGCAGCAAATGAGATAAATTGGCGCAAACCACGTTGCACAGGGCTGAAAATATGTTATTTCAATGTTCTTTGATTTATAAAACTCGATGAGTAAGACTTGTTTTTAACTTTAAATTCCTATTTAATGTAGAAAAAGATTACTACTATATTGTTTCTCGTTTGTCATCACATTTCTATTCATTTATTAGTTTATTAGCTATTTGTTCAGTTTTCCTTTTTTATTTTTATTTTTTTATCTATTTATTTACATATTTTAACTTCAACTGAATAAAGGTTTTCCTCAAGTTGTTGAGATTTTGATCTAGAATTAAAAAGGCTTCTTTTGGCTGCTAAATTCATCCGTCATCTTGTTTATTTTAAGCCACTTAGTCCATGCTCGTTTGCACAAACTAGAGGTAAATTTCTGCATATAGAGCTTCATGACATTTGCTAAAGAAATGAAACGTTTGGAACTATCTTTTCTTAGGGGGAGCTAATTGGTAATCTTGATTTGATCACAGGTATTAAACTGCGAGAAACTCACAGTAAACAAGACAAGAAGACGGCAAGTACCATTCCTTCAACCACAACTAAACAAAGTAGTTATAGGCGCGCTCAGAAAACGACGCCAATTGTCAGGCGACGTGTACCACGACAGCTTACACCAACAGAGACAGGGTCGAAACAGGTAAATCTGGGAGGAAAATGTCATTTCAGTAAATACAAAACGTGAAGTATTTCACAGTGACATCTGTCTCTTTTGGAGGGTCTGGAACTTACTAATATGATTAACCTTTGTTTTACATCTTCGCGAATTAGGAATGTTAGGTTTATAAGGAATATCCAGAAATATAACAGCTGCAACATAAACAACGCATTTTGTGCTTAAATAATTAGGTTTGCGAGGATGAGAAAGAATCACGAGAAGAAAGCTCATCAAGAGAGATATCATCTGCAGCCAAGGCGGTAGAGGTCGCGCCAGATTTTGAATGTAATGATGCACTTGTGCATGAGGAAAAGCTTCGTTTGGGGGCCAAATCAGATTATAGTGGTAACGAGATTGGCGACGACTTTATATGTTACTCAAAATCTTGCGACGAGAAAGCAATGCCCAATGTGCCCCAACGGCTGACAGAGGAGTACAAGTTAGCATTCATATCTGGTCTTTTTCCTTCTTTTACAGTCCACGAACTTTTGTCTCTGAATTTCATTTCTGAGGCCAGTAGGGTAAAGAATTCACATCATACAACATGTAGCTGTGCACACTTTCTGGTAATCAAAACTTACTCCATTCGCTGAAGCATCATGGTTGTTATATCTAATACATTTCAAAGTATATTTGTGTATTGGCCGCACTGCAATATACTTGCGAGGTCAATTTGTCACAATTGATTTAATAGAGAACACAGTCTCAGAACTTCCGGAAATTGAAGCAAAAGAATGTTTACTACCTAGGTAGATAAAGTGAATTGAGGATTGTCTGGTTTTATAATTCAAGGTTTCAGTAAACATGGAAGTGACTAGCTTCACGGCAGCAGAGTTTTCAAAGCCTAAAGGTTTTGCTAAGTTTTAAATTTCTTAAAGAGGTGATTTTCGAAGTTACCGAATTTGTGATGAGGCGTATAATATAGACTTATAAGCAATTTGTCTGCAGAGACTTAAGTATAGTTGACCATTATGAATTAATTTCGTGCAGGGAGAGAGAAGAAAAACAGGAAAACATAAAACTCATTAAAGGTGACACTACTGTTACAAGCTCGGCACAAAATATCAGACTGGAAACAGAGTCTGATACAAAGAACAAGATGGAAGAAAATGTTTTCAGCGAAGAACAGTTGGACTGTAGCTCTTTCACTAAGTCCAGCGGATACGAACAGAAAATGGCTGAGCTGAACGAAAAATCCAGACGGCTCAAGGCACAGTTTGCGGAGGAAAACAAACAGGCTGTGGAATCCATGAACAAGACAATGGAGGAGATCAAACAGAGCCAGACAAAGGTAGATTGTATCGAAAATGAGATTGAGGAGATGCGACGGAGACGGGATGAAATAAAAGAAGACTTGAAACGCCTTGATGAGATCGGCCAAAGACGAGATCTCGAGGATAAAAAATGGAGAGAAAAAATGGACATGAAAAACAAGAAACTCGCAAATACACTGGAGAAGATAAGAGCCAAACGACGCAAATATCAAGAAGAGACGGGCGCTGAAAATGACTCAACAGAGGGGCATGATCAACAGGATAAGAATTCAAGTGAAAGTCCGGAAAGTGAGAAAAGCAAAAATGTCACCATAGGAAACGAAACCGTTAGAAACGAAGACGTTGGAAACGAAGTGTTACGTGAGCCTCACCAGATCATAGAGTACAAAAGTGTAAAACAGCTGGAAAAAAAGCGGAAAGAAGTAAAGCAGTTGAAGAGACTGGAAAAGAATGCGATTAAAAGAGAGAAGTTAGAACAAAGACCGCGCAAGAAGATCGAAAAACACAAACTTGTGAAACTCTCAGCTAAGAGTTTAAAGGTTTCTGAAGAAACTGAAGGAGTTGCTGAGTGTATAAACCAGGCCATGGAGACTACGAATACAACGGCGAAAGAGAAAAATGATGAGACCCCGAAAGTAAATAGAATTAAACCATACGTCGTCACCTCTTCAGATATTGCAGAGTCCAGGCAAGTCCAAGCACTCTACTATTCTGGATTAATTACGAATGGTACAAAGAACAAGATGGAAGAAAATGTTTGCAGAGAAGAAAAGTTGGACTGTAGCTCTTTCACTGAGTCCAGCGGATACGAATGGAAAATGGATGAGCTGGACGAAAAATCCAGACGGCTCAAGGCACAGTTTGCGGAGGAAAACAGACAGGCTGTCGAATCTACGAACAAGACAATGCAAGAGATCAAGCAGAGCCAGGCAAGGGAAGATTGCATCACAAATGAGATTGAGGAGATACAAAGGAGACAGGATGAAATAAAAGAAAACTTGAAACACCTTGATGAGAAATTAGGAGAGACGTTGGCTGAGGTTGATAGGCTTATATTGGGAGATACAAACTTTATGGTCGACGAAACAGCGGACAGCCAACAAAGTAACCCAAAATATAGCAAGGAGGAGGTGCCTCGACAGGATAACTTTGACTGTTTCCCTGATGAAGTTGAGGGAGACATGCACACAGAGGAAAGCAGGTCTCAAGTTTCACAGAGTGCTGAGAACGAGGACAACGAGAAAAATGTCCATGAATGCGACGCCTTACCGAGATATGAGCAATCGGTAGCAGCAGTCGTCAACATAACGGAATATTTAATCCAACAAGAGTTGTCCAAGGCTTTGGAAACAATAATCCCTATCAGTAAAAAAGAGTATACATCGCGATCGGAAGAAAAGATCTCGGAGGAAGAACCAAAGTTCCACAAAGAAATTGTGGAAATGGAATTTGGGAGACTTACAAGGGAAAATACCGAGCTTGAGATGCAGATTTACATCATAAACGAGGAACTTGAAACGTACCGAAAGAGGATAGAAACTTTACAGGCTGATCTGAATGAGAGCAAAGTTGAGGTAAAGCGACTGCAGTCTAAGGAAGAGTACAAAGAAAGAGAGTTGGAAAATTTAAAAAGTGAGTTCCAGAGAAAGGAGCAAAAGTGGGAAGATGCAAATGAACTCTTGGAAAAGGTTATGGTGGAAAGAGAAGAGTTATGGGATGATGTTGATTACTTGGAGGAAAGCTTGAAAGACAGTCAAGAAAGCAATGAAACTCTGACATTTGAGGTCGATGAGCTGACGATAATGATACAGGAGATGAAGAGAGAGTACAGAGTGGAGCACAGTCGCTGGGGATGTGGACACCTACGTGAGGAAGTAGAGTTACTAAATGGATCTCTGGAGTTGAATGAACAGCGAACAGTTTTATTAGAGAGCCAATTAGACGCGTTTGAGGCAGAAAGAAAACAGTTAAGGGGTGATGTTAATTTCCTGGAGGGAAGCTTAAGAAACAGTCAAGAAAGCAATGAAGATCTGACGTTTGAGGTTGATGAGCTAAAGATAATGATGCAGGAATTGAAAAGGGAGAATACGGAGCTCACTCGCCATGGATGCAGACATCTACGCGAAGAAGTAGAATTACTTAATGGATCCCTGGAATTGAAAGAACAGAGAGTAACTCTGTTGGAGAGCCAAGTGGACGCGTTTAAAGAAGAAAGCTGTAGCCTTCAAAATGCTGCACAGAACATGAAAAGAGAAATAGAGATTCTTAAGAACGAAAATGCCACGAAGACGACGCAGTTGCATAAGCTAAAATGCGAAACATCACAGACTATAAGTGATCTTAAAGATGACATTGCAAAGTTACAACAAGAAAAGTCTGCATTGTCATCGGAACTATCAAAGGAATCAGAAAAAGATCACCATTTGTATGAGTTAAGATGTGAAAAATCGAGTGTAACAAAAACACTTCAAGATCATATCACAAGGTTGAGGAGAGAGAACTGCACTTTGACTGCAAGACTATCAAAGGCTTACGAAAAGGATGACCAGTTGACTGAACTAAGAGAAAAAGTCCAACTTTTACAGAATCAGTTGAAAAATGTAACTGAGGCGGCAACGGCGTCTGTGAACAGCAAAGAGAAAGAAATGGAGGAAGATTACCGCATCATAAAGAAGCAAGATGAAACGATCAAAAATTTAATCGAAGAGATAACGCAGGAAAGATGTGACAAGGACCGCCTCGAACAGCAATCTAGAAGAATAAGAGAACTTGAGACTCAATTACAAAAAATGGAAGACATGAAAAGAAACAGAAATCACTCAGTGGATGCCTTGGTGCTTGAGGTGAAACAGGAGAGCTCAGAAAAAGAGCGTCTGAAAAAAAAGGCCATGCAAGCACAAAAGGTTGCTTCTTGTAGAGAGAAAGAGCTTGAAAAGAGAATTGAACTTCTTGAGGATCAGTTACGTGCAGAAGATGAGCTGACAAACGCCACTCTTATGTCTCTAAATAACAAGGAAAGTTTGTTACAGGAAGCTACTGCCACTATCGATATGCTCACAAAAGAACTGGAACGGGAAAAGTCGGAAAAAAAAACTCTGAGAAAGGCTGTCGAAGTGTCTGAGTGTAACTCTCATAACGACAAAAGATTGACTGAGAACATTGAAACACTTCTGGAGCGATTACAAGAGATGAGTGACCTACGAGAGAAGACTCTTATATCTCTTAAAGAGAAAGAATGGTCATTGCAGGAGGCTCATGATGAGATCAGTGAGTTAACTCAACAAATAGCACACAAAAAGTCGCACAAAAAGTTTTTCAAGAGGAAGGCTAAGGCTAAAACGGGTGAAGCTTATCGACTGAATCTCATTCAAAAACGAACAAAAAGATATACACAGGAGAGGGGTTCGTTAATAACAGGCGTGGGAAAACGGCTGAAGAACCTGGTACAAAGACCAAGAGGAGTGTCCGAATCGAGCCTGGTAATGAAAAAGAAGGAAGCCCATGCACAGCGTGTGTTACAGAAATTGAGGGAAGATTTGAATGAAAGAGGAGAAGTCATTCAAGACTTAAGGAGTAATTTCAAAGACAGTGCTAGAGAATTGTCGTCCATGCGACGTCAGCTGGAAGATATTCAATGCCAAAATGCCGAGCTCATAGAATGTCTTGGACACAAGGAGGAGGATCTTCAAAAGACGCAAAGATACTTAAAAGAAAAGGAAGCCAGCCTTGATGTCACAAATGAAACCCTGCGTTTGAAATGCTCGCTTCTCAGAGCCATGGAGGCCAAATTATGTCTGTCGAAGAAAGAGATTGAAGAACTGACAAAAGTGAACAAAGAGAAAGGCTTAGAGATAACTCGCATTGAGACAACCCTTACAGAAGTGAGAAAAAAGTTGGTTATTGCTGCATCCTTCATCGAGGAGAAAAATGAACAATGTGCTAACCTTAGGACTTATGCTATGAGGAAGACCCGAGATGCGGATAAGATGCAAGACGAATTGAAGCGTTTCTCAACTCAACTTGAAAATAGCAGGAACGAGAACGCAAACCTACACAGAGCATTGTTAGCTGCTACAGAGCGTCTTACAAGGGAGAAGCATAGGCAGTTCAGAAGGACTGAGTTACTGAAAGATGGGCACGAAAGGAAGTCCTCTGAGTCATCATGTGAGGTGAGATATTTCCCTCCCTAAGCGCGAGACGCAGGAGCGATGACAGCGATCTTGAAGCAGGAGACGATGTACACGAAGTCTACACCCTAAAATCCCATTGTCAGCTTTCACTTTCTGCTCTTTTTGGAATTAGTTTATGTGCTGTAATTTTGACATGCATATTTTCAAGCGAGTAATTCATTTATTTCGTATCTTCTACAGGAAAGCACTTCTAACACCCTGAAAGCCAGGAGACAAATGGATGCGTACAAAATAACATTTTTGGAAGACGAGTGTAATGTGTCAGGCAGTAATCAGGGAGACACTAAAAATAAATGGTCAGTAATATATATTTTTTGTTACTAGGATATGTAACAATCATACCATTTGTGCATTTTGGATATGAGATGGTAGCTAGCCAACGAAATGCGTAGCGTCGAGTGGAGTATCACCAGTCTCGTATCGAATAAGCGTCTGATGAGATAATTGTTAATTATTCAATTACATTAAATCTCGAACGTTTGGATATTTGGAGCTTTTTTCAGCTCCGTGCAATGTATTTCCATGTAAAGTGACTAGGAATATGAGCTGATAACCGGAGTTGAATAAACCAATCAGAAGATTAGAAATGCAACATTCGGGGTTGAAAATTTAATGACATGATATAGCTTTAAGTAAAGCTGCAACCCTCGTCACAACTGTTGCAGAATGAATCTTTTTGGCCGCATTTGAAAGGCTAAGTATTTGAAAGGGGTTAGTGATAAATCAAAACTAGACGAAGATTTTTGCCAGCTAATGGAAACCCTTTTAGCCTAATATTTTTAAACAAGGTTATTCCTGGAATTAAAAAAATTTCAAAAAGAGCCAAGATCCATTCATTGGGACTTACGCAATATTTAAAGGTCACATTTTCACCAGTCATAGCGTATCGTCTTCAATGATATCTTTATATTTTCTTCAAACTTCTCCCTGTCATCTTTCAACGGGTAATTTAGAAATAAAAGTGTCTCTCACTTTTAATTGCAGGTTCAATACTTTTAGATTGGACGAACATCACTTTGAGACACGGAGAGATCGACATTTTAACTGCGCTGGTACTATCGCTAAGGTTGACCATACTATGCAGAACTTCTCAACACACGGATCACCTCATTCAGTTTCGATGCTTCTGTGCAATGGTTAATGTTTTGCGGGAGAAATACCAATGCAACGAATTGACAAACCGAAGCCAAGTGTGATGACATAAGATTAATTTTTATCATTGAAAATATTGGATGCAATCGAGATAATCTTTTTTTTTCTTTTGGAGAGAGCGAACGGTATACTTATTAACTTCAAATAAGCATTCATGCCTTGACATTAAGTGTAATTATATTAAAATACTCTAAAAGGATGTTCATTTTTGTTCTGTGTTAGGGAAGGGGACAGTACATAATAAGAAAAGGAGCAACCTTCTTATTGTAACTCACAGACCATTATACACAAGCAGGGGATTGGAAGGCAAAGTTTCCCCACCTTAATCACTCTGTTTACGAACATGACATGATTGTAACAGTGTGCACTTGCAAAACACGAACCTAGCATGTGCTTGGCTTATCCTGAAGTCTGTGCTGTAGCTCAGTTTTGTAGCATTGGAGCGGAATTTAAAAACGTCCGGTTCTATGGAGGGTGGGGGCTCAGATTCTTCTTTGTCCCATGATCTTACAAAACGAACAGCACTGCTCGAGTTCATAATGTTGAAGCTAAATCGAGAAGTCCTGGGTCAAGTTCCTTCCATCTGCCATCTTGTCAATTTCGGGGCTATGACAAACAGTGACGCATTTGTTCATTGGCGCTGATAATGATAGAAAACTTAACCATGATACTTTGATTTCATTAGAAGTTTTACCAAGTAATAAATTGGTTGACCCTTGTTGAAGTTGAGTGTGACCTAGGCACTGCTAATTAATATTTACCGATAAACATCCGGTTTCTTGTATTTTTATGTCATAAGGTTTTCCATGGGTGTCACAGGAAAAAAAGTTTCTTTTTGTTCGTGGGAACGGATGACAAAGTTGATAATGTTGCATTTACCAAAATGGAAAGAGCTGTAATATTTGAAACGAATCGCGTTGAAACGATCATCTTCCATTATCTTGGAAATTTAAAGATGAACCTTTACGAGTGTAGTTCTTCATTTCTTTGTAAGGGATAGATTTCCTTGTAAACCCATAATATACTAAAACAAGGCCTCTGCCATGTTAGTCTTCGCCTCATGTGGTGGAGGGAGGGGTGGGAGGAGGATTTGGTGGGATCGCACAGTTTTCAAGGGGGAAAGGAAGGGAGATCAGTAGTCGCCAACAGATCGTCCAACACCCCCAGCCGAAAAGAAAAACAGAACAAAACAAAAAAGTTCTAATAGTCAAAGGAAAAAACAAAACCCTTATAATCAGTTTTAAAGTTACGGATAGCTACTTTCAAAGTATAAGAAGTGCATTCGTCAGTTTTTTTTTTCTGAAAATTGGCCAGCACCCACCCTGGATGGAAAGGACGCTGTGAGATTAACGTATGTTGCCAAAGAACAGAACTCAATGGACTGGTTACAGCTGAACCTAGACCTTTCTTCCTGAACGACAGACTGTTTACTAGCGGTATGAAATGTCCACTCTCATCGGGTGATTATTGAGCTAAACTATTTGCTAGGCCAACAACGGATTTGCAATCGCGTGCGCAGGGGCAGATCCTGGATAGTGAGATGAAATCTTAACATCACTCCATACCAGGACAACATTAGCAAATAGTCAAAAAAGAAAGTCATTTCAAAAAAATACGGAAAAACCTTTAATGAAAAAAAGGAGGGAAGACGAAAGTTATTTCTCGGGAAAGGTGGCTGTAGAGAAAATTGCTTAGTCATATGGCTCGAAGCTTTTACTGCGTCAGTGTTAAAGAAGAGTTTATGAGTATTGCTTTTTGATACGTAATTTACGTAATTTTGTCTCAAAAGGGCAGGCTCGATGAATGGATTTTTTTTTCTTAAACAAAGCGAAGAGTTGAGAGGGCCATCGTGTCACACTCCTACCTATAATTCACTCTCACCTTAACCTCCAACCCCTCCCCCCCCTTTACTGAAACAGAAATGGACAGGCAACGGATGGTGGCGTTATAATGACGAATTTCTAAAACATATTTTTCATCTAACAAGACATTAACCTTGGTGATGGTACTGAATTTGAGAACTTCAACAATTCATTCAGCACTTATTCTTCATAATTAAAGAGCTCACGAAACAGAATAATTCACTAGGTATAGGTTGAAACATATATGGTTTTCAAACATGTACTATAGCCTTCATCAACATTAAGGAATCAAGATAGATCTTTATGGGGACATGTAAAATTTTAACAGCATATAGTGGTTTTCATTCATTTCCTATGGTAGTGACCAGGAGAACTTATTAAATAGCCAAGTAGAAGATCATTTCCTTGATTTTCAAGAACTTTATGTTTGATTACCGGGTGATAATGTCAGGAAAGAATAAAATTTCAGTCACTCCTAAGAGGTTAGCAAGTTAACCATCATTTTATTAAAACATTGAAGGAGGTCAATTTTTCCCAAATTCACTACCCCATTTGAAGTCTGCAAACAAAGAATTATTAGTGAAGAACTGCATTATTATAATTACCAGTGCTTCTATGATCTTTGTGTAAATTCCACTAAATATCAAAGATCTTCAGCATGGAAGGAAGTTATCTTGATTCAGTAGATGAAGTTAATTGAAACCTGATATTTCTTCTGACAAAAGGCTAACACTTGAAACGTCAGCTTTAGGAACTCTTAACAACAGCTATTTTACATGAACTCAGTTGATAGAACAAAATCATTTTTTGTAATACCCCCAGTGATGCAGCACCACAGTTTTTTTCGAAATTCACCCCTTTTATTCATTTATTTAGAAAGGTTAATTTGTTCTCCTAGTCCAGTTAATGATCCCATATTTTCTGAACATGGTTCCTATTGAATCAACCTCAAAATCAAATAAATTCATTCCTGTCTTAGACTGAAGTAACTGCAATACTTTTGCATAAAACAATTGAAGACCCTTCACTGTTTTGGTAACTGATCTCTTACTCATCAATATTTCAGTACAGAAAATATCCTACATTTGACTCAAAGAAAAGAGCTAATATCCCTTGAGAACTGAATTCCCAGTTTTCTAGGAATTCCTAAGAATTCTCAAAATTCCCAACTATGCAAATAGGCTCTGATTTGAAAAGCTTGGAATTACTAGGAGCTTTTGGGAAAGGAAGACTCCAGTTTAATGAGGACTTGGAATTCTTTGGAATTCCTAGGAATTCTCAGCTTTACAAACTACCCACAATTTAAGAAAGGTGGAATTCTTGGGAAATTCTGGGAATTTAAAATTTGAGACAGTTTAAATGCCCTAAGTTCACATAGATTCCAAGAAATTCTCAATACCTTGAATGTGAAGGTTTTAAGAAAAGGACTAATTTTAGAGGCTTAAAACTTTGGCTCAGTAAAAGGTATGCTATACAAAATTTACCAAGAGATATAGATACATGTATATGTTTATAACTTAAAGATCACAAAATTTATTATTCAAACTAAGTTTTAGTAAAGCTTTACATTAATATGGATTTTCTCACAAAGCAGCAGTAAATTATGTTAAATGCAAGTTGCCAATGTACAGAACCTTGGAACAGTCAAGCTCATGCAGTTGCCTCAAACACTGTCAGAGACCTTTTGTTCAGATTATTTTTAGTAGAAACTTCATGCCTTGGACAAACAAATTCAACACCTATTTAATCTTTCTTTTTTCATGATTATTGTTGCTGTTTTTTCTTTTTTTTTTTGTTCTTTTTATTCTTACAAAACATTTTTTGTAAGAGTTCCAATATTCAAGGATTATTCGCACACTCCACAAACATTTGGCATGCAGAGAAGACAGGAGTGGTCACTGTTCCCTTCAAGAAATAACACCTTTTCTTTGATTTTTTCGATTCGTTTTACTTGAAGCTCAGGTCTGAAAATATTTTAAAGACATGTTACTAGTGAGAAGTACAAACCAAGTTTCTTTTCATAACTTAGTTTCTTAAATGTCCAGGTCACTGGACCTCCTCAAAAATATTACTTCTTTTCATTTTTGGTGCAAAATACAAGTCCTTCGTCATATACAAATGAAACTTGCAAGTCACACTTCAATAATCACAGCTCTAAGGTTACCTATTGTTCTTCTCTGAGTCAGCTATCAACAAAATTGTTTTATATTTTTTAGGTATGGTATAAAATTCAGTTTGTAATTTAAAATGAGAACCTTAGTTTAAAAAAGTCAGTTCTGATGGTGAATTCAACTGCTTTCATTACAATTTCTAATGCTAAAATTTATTTGTACCATTCTTATTTCATTTAATATGTGATGACCAGCCTCACTAAAGAAGAACGGATTCTGGAGATCTGGCTGTACTTCACTAAAGACTGCCAATGTGATCCCAGACTGCCTATCCCACACAAAACACTCAACCTCTCCAACCTTGCCACAGGCAAACAAGACAACATAGCCATTCTGCTCTACCATTCTGGTGTACTCCTTCAAGAAAAACACTTATCCATTCTTGAGAATTCGTTGCACTTAAACTTTGTTGCCTCCAATAACTTCTATATCAGTCTTCTCCATTAACTCTTGTGGTAGCCCTACAGTTTCTTAGCCCCTCCAGCAATGAAGCAATTCTCTGCCTTCTTTAGATTTTTAATTAACTCTAAAACATGAATGGAAAAAAGTAGATTAATATCTTTAATAACAGTGTGTTTTTCAAGCAAAAAAGAAGTTGTCAGTAGTGTAAAGAAGCTACTGATGATGATGATGATGATGATAACAATTGCTATCAATATTACTAAAACTATCATAAAAGATCAGACAAGTACACTTAAGAGCAAAATATCACTTACTCTCTTTTGGTGTTCAGCATTCTTTTGATAAAGTCCTTAACACAACCATTTTCTAACATATCTACCTCGCATCTTAAGCGACTCTGAGCATGAACCATCCATACAACCTGGTAACAAATTCAAAATTGTACATTAATAATTAATTTCTCCAAATGGAATGGGAGAAGTAAGTTATAAGTTTACTTGATTTAAATTTATGACAGTGGGACCTTAATAACAAAGTTAGCAAGGGCTCATGAAAATTTAGCTGTATTAACAGGTTAGGAGCAATATCTTGACTGGTCCTAATAGATACTTTTACATTTCTAAACAACTGTAAATTATTTAACAAATACCTGGAATGCAATAAGTTTAACATATGCATACAATAGTAACCAAGGGTACTTCATTGAACATAACTGATTTCTACAATTAAAACAACAACAGACTTGGCCATATATACATCATGTTACTTTAAGTTATCATGTTGCTTTAAGTTAAATATTGTTTTCAATATTGTTAAATATTGTTTTTCAAGTACTGTATTTGTTTTGTTTGGAAAACAAAATTGACCATAATAACAAGGTTACCAAATTAATGAGGTGACCATGCAGTGGGGTGGTGTAAAGGTGTTAGGTGTAAATTAACTGTCTGTTAAAAGTACCTGTCTACAGACATTTCCTGTGCCATGTGTCAAGTCCATGATGGTTCCATTCATGTCCTCAAACCAAAGGTGGACCATGCCCACAGTGGACCCCATCCTTCAACATAGTCAGCTAGATGGGCACCAGGATTGTGAACAGTGAGACCACAATTGCCATTTCCTTTAAATGTGAGGGAAACACACTGTTTAGGGCTATGCCCTTTTTTTGACCAGTCAATGGGTGAATTTACCCCAAGAAGATACTTTATAATAGCTTAGCTTTTTCTATTAACACATATGAACAGAGGCATAACTGTCAACCCATTAGGAAAAACATCATCTTAAAAATTCTTCTGAGCCACAAACCAATTTCTCTTTGTTGGGTAGCAAAAGTAATTGAGTTTTTGTTATTTCTTTTAAAAACATTTTACATGTAAACCTTAATTAAGCTTGTACATAAGTTTCATTGAATCCTAGAATTTTAACAGGGATTTTTGAATTTTTAGTATTTATTTTATATTAATAGCCTCAAGAATTTGACTTTAAACTCCCAGTAATTCCAAAACATTCCTAGAAATTCCTTTTTTTTTTTACATTTACAGCTTTTCAGGGAAAGTCATTGGTGCTTTGAGTTGGAATTCCTAGGAATTCCTAGGAACTTTAAGTCCTGTTGGCTATAAACTTAGAATTTCTGGGAATTTCTCGGTTTTTAGAACCAGAGTTGTTATAGTTGGGACTTCCACATGGCATATCGGCCAAGATATCGAGCCCATCTTTTTTGTGGGATAACAATCAGTCTTCGATTTCTTGTAATTTCTTCCTCTCTTCTAACAATTCTCTCTTTCTAATTTTAAAACCCTTCAACTTTTTTATAATCTCTTTCTCCTTCATTTCAAGCCTTGAAATGAAACAAATGAAACGTGAAAGCTTAGTTCAATGGCGCTCTGAAAATTCTTTCGACCAGTTTTTAAACAAGTCAAGGAACCAAGATTTCAAACCATTTAAGGGGATCTTCAACACAACCATTAATATTTGCATCTTCTACAAGCAAGTTTTCCTCTTTAGAGATATATAACTTATATATCTCTAAAGAGAAAAACTTGCGTCGCAATTCCTCGATACGCGACGTTACTTCATACATTGCTCGAAGCACCTGAATTTTGAGGTTTCCTTCTTCTGACTGTGTTTTCCTCCTCTTCTTTTCAGAATAATCGGCTTTCGAAGCACCCTTTCCTCTTCTTGGTAGTGTTTTCTCCATTTCGAAAGTTACAACAGCGTTTTTGAACTGCTCTGTAGAAATGTCTCCAAATAAACGACTACATGATACAGCGCGCAGTCCATTTTATGACTGTATTGCAAAGCACCCACGGATTTGTTTCCCATGGAATGACAAGCCTTTGATAGGTTTAGATGTCCATCTCTTATTGAAGCATTCAGGTATTCCCTTTTCTCCTGAAGACATTCGAGAGACTCCAAAAACTCAACGATGAGGTGATCTAGTTCCTCACACATGTCCTCCATTTTGAAAAAAGGAACGTGGGAGATTGAGTACGAGGGAATGTCTTGTACACTTGTCAACATTTAGTCAACTTTAGGTTGCATTCCAGCGCATTGCCGTTTGACAGTAAATGTAAAGGAAGATCTCCCTTCATTGATCGAATGCCTTTTTGACGACTTTCGCAATCGTGATGTGACAGACTCTGAACTGTTGAAGTATGTCAGTCCGAAAGTTAGTGTTCATGATTTTACTGATCATTTCACTACCCGTTAACAGCCGCCGTCAAGACAATTTAGATTGAGACAAACTAAGGCCGGCAGAGATGGAAGATAGAAATATGCGAAGGTCGATCAGTTTGAAATTTTACAATATCCTTTTGGATACAGGCCTCCTCGCAAAGTTATATGGACTTTTGATGCAACTTTACGCCTTTTTCTGATGATCAAACGGAAATAGTGGATTCTTTCGCGAAAAAAAGGTGCTACTAAGCAGCGTGTTCACATCGATGGACTCAGCTCACAGATGTACATTAGTCCCGTATAGTACACTGCCATTCCTAGCGTGGAGTCTATTTGCTTTAAATTTGATCTGATCAGGAAGAAAGAAGCCCATGTTTATTCATTGGAAGCCTCAAACCCATTTGGGTTGGATGAATGAATGGGGGAGCACTTTCCCACTCACTTCAATTGATCTATATGTAGCTGAGAAAGAAAACTCTAAGAATTCTGCAAAGGTACGATGAGATTATTTTTCGAACATAAATGAATCTTTTTTGATCCAAGAAGGGATGGAGTTTTCTCCTGTTATTACAAAGATTAACAATTTTCGCTGGCGCTGTTCTTTGCCGTCTTTCAACGCCAGTCGATGTTGTGGAAAACGGCTGAGTTCCTCTTTGCTTGAAAATATCTTACTTTTGCTCTATATTTGCGTGTTGGCTACCATTCGAAGACAAACAATTTCAAAGATTTCACTGTCATGAAGTTTGGACACAAAATTGTGATCTTTATAAGACTGAATATCAGATTCCAGTGCGTGAGCTATCGAAGGTTTCCTCGATCTATGTGACGAAAAACTCGTAAGAGATGGTTTCCATGGATTTTCGCTCAAAACAAAATCATTTGCTTCAGCTATCGGTGCGTTCAGTATCGAGGTTCGGAGCTTTGGAAATTTGGATTGTTCACAGTCTTATTTGAGAAAAAAAACACTTAACACAAACCAAAAAATCAAATACTATAAAAACTAAACTGCAACAACTAAACAAAAGAAAACCGCGGGTGAGACGCGATGGCTTCGTGGCTTCGCCCCGAAAAAAAAGACGACCAAAAACATCTTCCTTCTCCGCAACTGAAATCAAGAATACCAGTCAGAATGAATCGCTTATGCAGCGACAATGTCAGAAGTTCCTCGTCAAAGGACAAAGCAGATAAAACAGCGCGTCTGCAAAAAGATTTAGGGAGCAAAGTTCAAAGCAAGTGGTCATCACGGATTCCGATTGCGGTGAATGGGAGGAAGACCAAAGTTGATTCTAAAGATAATCTACCCATGAATTTCAAAACTATTCAAGGAGGAAAACCTCTTGAAAAAGATTCAGGTATGTTTATTTCTCAGCAGTTAGGCAGCATCAGTTTTTTCGCTGAAGTAATATATCGAAAATTGAAGACATTCTATAAAACAGTTTCAGGCGAACGGCTGGAATCACCATATTGTCTGTATCATAACATACGCCGTAGGTAAAAGAAGCAGCAACTGAGATAAATTGACGGAAACCAAGTTGTACAGGGTTGAAAAGACACTAATTGAATGTTTCTCGATTTAAAAAAGTCGATGAGTAAGACTTGTTTTTAACTTTAAATTCCTATTTAATGTAGAAAAAGATTACTGCCATTAATTGATTCTCGTTTGTCATCTCATTTCTATTCATTTATTTGTTTATTAACTCTTTGTTCAGTTTTCCATTTCATTTATTTATCTATTTTATTTATTAACATATTTTAACTTCACCTGAGTAAAGATTTTCCTTAAGTTTCTAAGATTTTGATCCAGAATTAAATAAGCCTCTTTCGGTTGCAAATTTCATCAGCCATCTTGTTTATTTCAAGCCACTTAGTCGATGCTTGTTTGCATAAACTGGAGGCAAATTTCTGCAGTTACAGCTTCATGACATTTGCTAAAGAAATGAAAAGCTTGCACCTAATTTTTCTTAGGGGGAGCTAATTGGTAATCTCGATTTGATCACAGGTATTAAACTGCGAAAAACTCAAGGTACACAAGACAAGAAAACGGAAAGTGCCATTCCTTCAACCACAGGTAAACAAAGCAGTTACAGGCGCGCTCCGAAAACCACGCCAATTGTCAGGCGACGTGTACCACGACAGCTTACACCAACAGAAACAGAGTCGAAACAGGTAAATCTGGGAGGAAAATGTCATTTCAGCAAATACCAGAGGTGAAGTATTTCACAGCGACAACTGCCTCTTTTGGAGGGTCTGGAACTTAATATCGTGATTAGCCTTTGTTTGACTTCTTCACGAATTAGGAATGTTAGGTTTATAAAGGATGTACACAAATATAAAAGCTGCAACAAAAACAACGCATTTTACGCTTTTATAATCAGGTATGCCAGGATGAGAAAGAATCACGAGAAGAAAGCTCAGCGAGAGAGAAATCATCTGCAGCAAGGGCGGAAGAGGTCACGCCAAATGTCACCACAGCTAAACAGAGCAGCTATAGGCGCGCTCAGAAAACGACGCCAATTGTCAGGAGACGTGTACCACGACAGCTTACACCAACAGAGACAGAGTCGAAACAGGTAAATCTGGGAGGAAAATGTCATTTCAGCAAATACAAGAGGTGAAGTATTCACAGTGACAACTGGCTCTTTCGGAGGGTCTGGAACTTAATATCGTGATTAGCCTTTTTTTCACATCTTCGCGAATTAGGAATGTTAGGTTTATGAGAGACATCCACAAATATAACAGCAGCAACAAAAACAACGCATTTTGTGCTTAAATAATCAGGTTTGCAAGGATGCGAAAGAATCACGAGAAGAAAGCTCAGCGAGAGAGAAATCATCTGCAGATTGGGCGGAAGAGGTCACGCCAGAGGTCACCAAAGCTAAACAGAGCAGTTATAGGCGTGCTCAGAAAACCACGCCAATTGTTAGGCGACGTGTTCCCCGACAGCTTACACCAACAGAGACAAAGTCGAAACAGGTAAATCTGGGAGGAACATGTCACTTCAGCAAATACCAGAGGTGAAGTATTTCACGGTGACAACTGTCTCTTTTGGAGGATCTGGAACTTAATATCGTGATTAGCCTATGTTTCACATCTTCGCGAATTAGGAATGTTAGGTTTATGAGAGACATCCACAAATATAACAGCTGCAACTAAAACAACGCATTTTGTGCTTAAATAATCAGGTTTGCAAGGATGCGAAAGAATCACGAGAAGAAAGCTCAGCAAGAGAGAAATCATCTGCAGCAAGGGCGGAAGAGGTCACACCAGAGGTCACCACAGCTAAACAAAGTAGTTATAGGCGCTCTCAGAAAACGACGCCAATTGTCAGGCGACGTGTACCACGGCAGCTTACACCAACAGAGACAGAGTCGAAACAGGTAAATCTGGGATGAAAATTTTATTTTCAGCAAATGCCAGAGGTGAAGTATTTCACAGTGACAACTGTGTCTTTTCGAGGGTCTGGAACTTAATATCGTGATAAGCCATTGTTTCCCATCTTCGCGAATTAGGAATTTTAGGTTTATGAGGGATATCCAGAAATATAACAACTGCAACAACAACAATGCATTTTGTGCTTTAATAATCAGGTTTGCAAGGATGAGAAAGAATCACGAGAAAAAAGCTCAGCACAAAATATCAGACTGGAAACAGAGTCTGGTACAAAGAACAAGATGGAAGAAAATGTTTTCAGCGAGGAAGAGTTGGACTGTGACTCTTTCACTGAGTCCAGCGGATACGAACGGAAAATGGCTGAGCTGAACGAAAAATCCAGACGGCTCAAGGCACAGTTTGCAGAGGAAAACAGACAGGCTGTCGAATCTATGAACAAGACAAAGGAGAAGATCAAACAGAGCCAGGCAAGGGAAGATTGCATCACAAATGAGATTGAGGAGATGCGACGGAGACGGGATGAAATAAAAGAAGACTTGAAACGACTTGATGAGATCGGCCAAAGACGAGAGCTCGAGGATAAAAAATGGAGAGAAAACATGGACAAGAAAAAGAAGAGAGTCGCAAATAGATTGGAGAAGATAAGAGCCGAACGACGTAAATATCAAGAAGAGACGGCTGATGAAAATGACTCAACAGAAGGGTATGATCAACCGGATAAGAATCCCAGTGAAACTCCAGAGAGTGAGAAAAGCAAAAATGTCACTATAAGAAACGAAACCGTTATAAACGAAGACGTTGGTAACGAAGAGTTACGTGAGTCTCATCAGATCATAGAGTACAAAAGTGTAAAAGAGCTGGAAAAGAAGCGGAAAGAAGTAAAGCAGTTGAAGAGACTGGAGAAGAAGGCGATTAAAAGAGAGAAGTTAGAACAAAGAGAACGTAAGAAGATCGAAAAAAAGAAGCGAA